GCAATCCCCATGATAATGGGTTTTATACTTGAACTTGGATTGCTTAAGGTTAGTCTATTTAATTTCCTTCGGTACAGTGTGTTTATTAATTTGTCTTCTAGGCATTTCGCATCTTTTGTACTACAAAATTGCCAGGTCACTTACCCTAGTTAAAGGCATTTCTTTTTGTGTTTGTGGTGGTTGGGAATATTTTAGCTGAGGCTCTACACCCCATTTTCCTTTTTCGTAGTTCATATCTTATGCACTAGGATTTATTCTGGAGACGTTATTTAATTTAATGTTGTTACTCCAATACAATAGTTCCTCTTGGTAATTTTATTTTTGTTTGGTGTTCCAGGCTGTTTTCAGCTTTATTACAATGCAACTTCAGTTGTGTTCAGTCTTCTTCACGTTTTCATTGGGCACCAGAACTCATTATTTTGGACGCACTATCCTCCATGGAGGTGCAAAAGTATGTCTCTTTCTCTCTTTTCGCACACACACCTCTACCTGCATACTTGGAAATTGATTTTTATGCATCTTAAATTTTGCCAACAGTACAGAGCAACTGGTAGAGGTTTTGTGGTACGTCACATCAAGTTTGCTGAAAATTACAGGCTCTACTCAAGAAGTCATTTTGTTAAAGCGTGAGTATGTTTACATGAATGATTTCTTGTTATTTTCGTTTTCTAATGGCACCTGCCATCCTGAGTCAAGGTGGGGTTGGGAAGAATTTGGTTGATTTTCTGTTAAAAGTTGTCTCTTTTTGTTACAAAACATTCATCCTTTTCTTTCAGGCTCGAAGTTGCCCTGCTTCTCATAGTTTACATAGCATATGGGTACACAGATGGAGGTGCTGTGTCTTTTGTTTTGTTGACACTTAGCAGTTGGTTCCTTGTCATCTCATGGCTATTTGCTCCTTACATATTTAATCCCTCTGGTTTTGAGTGGCAAAAGTAAGCCTCATGTTCTTATTTATTTGCCTTCATGTCATACAGTTTTAGAGTTATTATGTTTTTGCAAGAACTAAGCTGTCTGCTAATTACCATTATGTTGGCAAACAGGACTGTTGATGATTTTGAAGATTGGACTAGCTGGCTTTTATATAAAGGTGGTGTAGGTGTGAAGGGAGATAATAGCTGGGAATCATGGTGGGAGGAAGAACAGGTGGTGTTAAAGTTTCTATACATTGTTATGTATTTAAATGTGTTCATTTTGTGCTTTGTACGTTTCATTTTCTAATATTTATTACTTTTTAAGTTGGTTTCTTTCTTCTCCAGGCACATATCCAAACTTTGAGAGGTCGAATATTGGAAACAATATTAAGCTTGAGATTCCTCATTTTTCAATATGGCATCGTATACAAGCTCCATCTCACAGGAAAGGATAGATCTATTGCGGTATAGTTCTTATTTTTTGTTCTGATATGAGTTTGTGATCTTGTTTCTCTTGTATGTTCTTTAGAAACAACAATTAATAGCCCTTTGTTTTGATCAGGAAGAAACATTTTTTCCTTGCATGGCCTTTTTTTTCTCCCAGCCAATTTATTGCTTAGGATGTTTGTTGAAGATGGATATTATAGTTTGAATAATGCAATTTGAACTGTAATAGATTAAACGCTGAAAGTATTATTTGATTAGTAGTATGCCTTGTTGCTTCTTGATCTTGACAGTTGGTTTTGTTGTCTAGATTTATGGCTTCTCTTGGGTCGTATTGGTTTGCCTTGTCATGATATTTAAGGTCTGTATCCTTTTATGTTCATCTATTATTCCTTTATTTATGTAGCTATATTTGAGTATGTGTTATACTCATGTTCGTATGTGTTCTTTGTCTTATAACCATGAAGGTCTTCACCTATAGCCCAAAAAGATCTACCAGTTTCCAGCTACTGATGCGATTCATGCAAGGAATCGTGTCCTTAGGACTTGTTGCAGCTCTTTGCCTTATTGTTGCCTTCACTGCTTTGTCAATTCCTGATCTTTTTGCGAGCATTCTTGCATTTATTGCCACTGGATGGACTATCCTATCTGTAAGTTGAAAAGGCTTGTGTTCTATTTTCTGCATAGAACTACGTCAACAGCAATGATTGAAATGAAAATTCATGTGATGAATATTGCTGCTTAAATCTGACATGAAGGGTCTTATTCTGTAGTAGGAATTAGGAAAAAACTGGCTTTTATGCGAGCTGTAAACAAATTTCTAGGATATGTGCCTGTGTTTCGGCTTTAAGTAATAGTGGTTACTTGTGAAAGTAGCTCCATGATAAGTATGTGATAACACCAGGCATTTTATTAGGCACATCCTCTCAGAAAAACCTAAAAGAAAAAGAAAAAGAGCAGAGCGGAAAGAAAAAAAAGCTTGCTGGGGAAGCAAGAAGGATATGTTGTTTCTTTTAGTGGCTTTCTTCGGCTGCTTTTTTATTACACGTACTTTGGATAGAGGTTTGGTAGAGTACATGCACTTTGATGGTCTAAACTCTAAACTGCTGCTTTTATCTATTACCGACCTGCATATTACCATCGATGTCCTTACCATTCTTGTTATCACTGACTGCAAATCCCATTTTGATTCTTCTGAAACAGATTGCCATCGCATGGAAAAGGATAGTTTGGAGTTTAGGGTTGTGGGATTCAGTGCGTGAGTTTGCCAGGATGTATGATGCTGGGATGGGCGCGTTAATTTTTGTTCCAATTGCATTTTTATCATGGTTTCCATTCGTTTCTACCTTCCAGTCTCGCCTGCTCTTCAACCAAGCATTCAGCCGTGGGCTGGAGATCTCACTTATCCTTGCTGGAAACAAAGCTAACGTCGAGATCTGATTCTTCACTGTCATGGATGGCTGGTGTGGCCCTGTAGAGATTGTAGATCGTAGATGAGTAATCTTTTGTATGATATCGCTCTCTTCATAAATTATTAGCTTTTAAATTGACTGTACATGATGTTTGTGAAAGATGTATCTGTACAAAGAGGGCACATCTTTTTCCACTGATATTCTCCACTTCTGATCGCCGCAGGGGTAGTTTGTGTCGAATTGTGTGTAATTTTCCCAGGAGACTTTCAAGGTCAGTATAGTGAGCCCGTGGTTATCGGTTAGTCCAATTACATTGCTTCCTGCATTTCAAACTCTTCCGCCGCTGCAGCCCTAATTTCTTCGCCGGCCCTCTTACTGGTGTGGATCTTGTTCATAGAATCAGAACTGTCCGTCACTCAAACCAGTTAACCATTTGAGAAAACTGAAAACAGTAGTTGCCTTGTACAATCTCGTCTTGCAAGAGAACCGTCCATGCATGCATGTTATTTTCAACTGAGCTCGGCTTCGCGTCCCCTTTTTCCCTACGTCTTCTTTTTGGGATGTTGCCTATTTCTGGATTAAAAATAACGGAGCTCACTGTGCTGTGCAATTTCTAGCAATGAAAAGCCAGCCTCTCCACTGATAAAATTGATAAGAACGAGCAGGCCCTTGACTATAGGTATTATAACCTCAAATTCTTCCAAATTTTTAAGCACATGATTCATTGTTCTCACGAACTTCTTAAAAACCTTGTATAATTTCTGGGTTTCTCCTTTTTATCATTAACTTGAATGGATAGTTGCTAAGCTCTTACGTGATTATTCTAAATATTTTGATGGTAATGCTCCTATGGTCCACCCGCTTCAATTCATGATTACTTCTGAGAAATACTGTTCTCACTTGAATGATACATAACCAAAGCTGAATATTAAAACTGGTTTTCAGCATAATATTTTTAATATCTTTATTCTATAAATTATTTTCATTATTTTGTCTTAGGAGCGCAAGACTCGCTATTAGCATAGCAAATCTTCGTCATAAACCAAAGAAATATATGATTCATAATCCAAATTTCTGTTATCAGTCTATATAATTTCTCGTGCAGAGTTGATGGCAGATTTGTTTTCTCCTAAATCTTCGTTATTTCTCCCTTCACATGAAAATGATTTTGTTTTCAAAACTAAAGGGGATCTCCCATAACTTAGAAATCCATTTTTTTCCCGATATGTCCTTATTGAGAAAGGATTGTGATTATAATTGAGTAATGAAGGTTTAAATTTGCTAGTTATTATTATTATTTTTTACACATGGATCAATCAAAACGTTTTAATGATGAGTATAGTCGCGAAACGTTTTTTATCCTAGAAATCTTTTAATTTTATTTTCCTATGTATAATATGATATGTGATTAATTATTAAATTATGTTGTCTAGCACAACATCGACTTGGTAATGTTTTATACACCAATCCACGTCTTCCTATAAGATAGGATTCCATCACCAATTAAATTCATATAAATGCATGCAAGTGCGACTTGGCAACTTACAATATTTTAGTATAATGACAAATCAACACTAAATCATAATTCACACATCGTGTAAGCCTGTATGTATGTATGTATTTCCTTGAAGAATACATTTACAAGAATCCAACCATAACCATATAGAATTGAAATTTAGAATAATTTATAAATGAAACTAATTAAACATAAATAGTTTTTTTATTTTTTAAAGAATTCAACGACGAAATTCGAAGCAGTTAAACCTCATTTTCTATGTCCCTTTTATTGCCATCCCTTAGTCAAACAACAGAATCTAACCTATTAATTGCAATAATGGGACAGCCATGCTTTGGACATCTCAAAAGATTAAAAGAATATTTGGTCATTTACTTGATTATCTAAATAATTTATTTATTTATTTGCACCGAATCTCACAAAACAAATTGTTTTTCATTCATAAAAAATGTATTTTTTATTTTTTTATATGTAAAAATCCATCTAATGATAATTTTAACTAAATATATTTTTTTAAAATTATAACTATAAGTATTTTTTTTTAAGTTATAAAGTAAGGAATATTCACTAAATTGAAAAATTCCAAACCATTTTCCCATTATCCCGGGGATATGTTAGAGAAAAAAAAAAAAAACAAGCGCGTAAACAACGTGGGTGCCTCAAACAACAGTTGCCTAACGAACTACCTAACTAACAGTTAGCATTTAGCAAAGACATAAAAGGAAAATAAATGTAGTAATGACAAACAAGCATAACGTCTGCTCATTCTCCATTTTCTCTCCTTTTCCTCTCTTTCTTTTGCCTAAAATATCGCTCCTCCTTGCTCCCTTTCCTCAATAAAACTCCAACCATCACAGCGAAGTTTTCCCTCCATTAACCACTCTTCTGTTCTGTTCTGTTCTTTCTCATGGCTTCTGTAAGATTACTTAATTTTCCCTTTAGTTTTCCTGCTTTGATTTGTCTCTTTTAATTCAGATTCCCGTTTCTTTAATCCCTCATTTTTGTTTTGTTGTTTCGATTCTAAGTAGTGGGGTTTTTGTATGTTGTCTGTGTTCTTGTTTGAACCGCTTTAACATGTGAGAACTAGATGATCAAGATGGTCTTTATGATGTTTTGAGGAGGATGGGATTTTATTTCATCATCTGGATATCATTTAGATATCTTGAATTGAATGGCTTTTGTTGTTGAGAATTTTTATGAATCTTATGTATTATTATTTCAATTTTCTGGGATCTTGTTCCTTCCTGTGTCGAATGCTTGATTATTTTGTTAGACCACAGTTTTGTTGGCTTAACCTTACCTTAAAATATGGCAGTATGGACATTGTGACATTGTTGAAACTTCTTACTGTTTGGTTGTTTTCTGAAAGTAGGCATGGATGAGAGAATGGGGTTTGTCCACTAATTGGATTCTGTCGTGTGCACAGTTTGCCTTCCATTAGTCGTTACATTCGAGGCTGTAATCAATACATAGCTAGCAATTGGATAAGACTCGAACGATCTCTGTAGCCAGTAATTCCCTCGAAATCTACTTGCTTCCGACAATTTTATGTTCGTTTTTCTATAGTTTGCTGCCTTTCGCCATGTATTAAGATATATAATCCAGCGTTAGTATCGTCTCTAAAATGAAACTGAAATTTATTTTTTTCATTAATGTAGCTTCTTGGTAATGATTCAATGTCCAAAATGAGTTGAGTATCTCGTAAAGCATTTAAAGTTTAAGTAGGCAAATGTCCTGAGAAGGTTGGCTAATCTATTACAATCGATGATTTTTCTCTCTTAGCAAGGTCGGCCTCTGCCCAAGTTTGGTGAGTGGGATGTAAACAACCCTGCCTCTGCTGAAGGATTCACAGTCATCTTTAATAAGGCTAGAGACGAGAAGAAGACCAAAAATAGTCCAGAAAAAGTCGTATCGCCACGAAGAACTGAACCTGGGTACAACAAAAATGACAAAAATGAGAATTATAAGCATCCCCCAAAGGTACATGTTTGAAACGAGAAATATCCGAGTCCTTTTTCCCTTTCATTTGTGTATTTTCCGATTCAAGATTTCTTATAGCTCAATTATTTTTTTCATGCAGAGGAGGTGGCTGTGCTGTAGTTGAACTTATACTGCTGTAAGGGCCTTGATAAAATGACTGGTGAAAGCTACCATATCCGGGGCGGGGATTCTCTGACGAATGCCTGGGCCTTCTGATGGAGCACTGAATGGTATCTGACCATACTTTTCTTTGTTTTTTCCCCCTCCTATACCCTTCACTCTTATTTATTGCCTTGGATTCTTTCTTCTCATTTTATGTTTCTGATGCTTCTCAAATAATGGTACAAGAGTGCCAAAAACAAGTTGAGGATTTTTGTTTTTACGGAAGATGTTATCAGTGTTTCACTTGCTGGCTCTGAGCAAGAACATGGTGCTAATCAATAAGACAGTTTACATTTATTATTATTGTTGTTATTGTTATAATTATTTTCTGCTAGCAATTATTTACTTAATTTGATATATCCAGGGGCAGGCTTGTTTTCAATAAGTTTTGCTTTTCCTTTTCATGTATGGAGAAATTATCGTTTGATACCATGGAAATTAGCCCGATACTTTCGGATAAACAAAAATGTTCAAGGATTTAAGATTTTCAGCTTGGGGTTTCCCATTGAATGTTTACTCTATAGCTGTGTTAAGGATCAACATGGCTTCCTTCGTCCACTCTTCCATTGATTCTAACACAATGTCCACTCTCCTTTTATTACTGAATGCATGCAAATGCTTCTCTCGTTCCGTGAACTCATCAGCTCCTCGCTCTATTGGAAAAAATGAAAAGCTGTCACTCATTCCAAATCTCTTGCTTGAGTTGTGTCCCGCTAATCTGACCTTTTGCACTGCCTAAGCTGAGTCAAATGGGAGGCCAAGACCCAAATCTGTGCGTAACATTGAATCCATATTGATGATTGTTTATAGTCTGACACTGCATTCATCAATTGCCCTATATCCATCAATACAACAGAACAGGCTTCACTCATATGCAACTGTATAGCTCCACCAAACAGCAGCTGATTGCATTCGTGACTTGACTTTCAATTATTTTGTAAATCTAAATTCGAGTAGTAGCCATCCCAGCCTACAGCGAATAATGATCTCACTCTCTCATGCAGAGACATGTGCATAAACCACCCCAGATTTTTGGCAAGCAAGAGCAGATGAGTTAATCCAGGATTTGAAAGACCAAAGATTAAGCCATATTGAAAGAGAAATGCAGGTGTTCAAAATCTCGTCAGTTCTTATGGGAAAAATAGAAGAACTAGTATTTCAATGGCATGCGTTGTTGTAAGAATGTTTTTCAAAGTTGTAAAATGGAAAATGCAGAAGAACTTTACACGTGAAGAGAAGAAAATTTGAAATGGGAGAAGGCCATGACTTAAAAAGTATTGGAAATAGTGCCATTTTATCCGTTGTTTGCCTTTCATCTTTCGTTTTTCGACTACTGTTTTTGGTTGCTTGTTGGATATCTACTCTCCAATTTGGTTTCCAAATTTGGTGTTTCTTATTAATGTGTTCATTTAAAAAAAAAAACTTATTCACTCCAAACTGTGATCCGTATAATAACGTTGTTAGTTGCTATCATTAATTATAGTGTGAAATCAAGATAGTTCAGTAATCTTATACTTTACACACACACATATAGTGGAGGCTAATGAACTAATGTTTTCTTGTCACTTCATCTCAAAGACCTTTTTCATTTTCTTCTTCCTCCTCCTTCCTTTTGCTTTTTCATCTTCCTTTATCCATCTCTAAATAATCCTACAAAAAACAGCACGTATTAGAGCACAACAACCAAATCTAGACAGCAAGTTCAAGAATTAATGTTGTTTCGAAAGGGAGTCAATTGTTTTGCTGACATTAATAATGACATCGTGTTGATGTTTGGACAGCATCACCACAGTGTCTAGATTATACTTTCAGAAATGCATTGATCCATGATAAAAACCCTAATGTCTTGCTAACAATTGTTGTTGTTTGAGCTGTCAACTTTGTAGGGATAAAATGTTAGGTTTTAACTCCGTAAATCCTTGAATCTTGTGAACCAAATGCTCGCTTGTTGAAATGAATGAGAATGACTATATGTAATTAAGCTAGCAATGTGATTATTAGCTAGTGAGTAGTTCGGTTCTTGAGGTGGTCAAATAAATAATTCATCGTGGGTTGTAAAGATGACAAAAAAGAGTATAATTCATTGTGGGTTGTGAAGATGACAAAAAAGAGTTCTGCAAATAAAAATCTTTCGTAGCTTCAAGAAAGCTTTGTCCAACATTATTTACACAATGTACTAAAAAATATACTTATCTTGTGATGCTTGTAAACTTGTTAAGCATGCATGTGCTACTTATTCCTCAACTAAGTAGTAGAACTTTATGGTGATTTATTCATATGTTTGGGTCCTAGTAAACTTATTTTTTTATTAATTATTATAGTTGTACTATTTGGGTTAATTAGATGTATAATATAAGTGAAGTGTTTCTTTTTTTTTTCTTTTTGCTTTAAGAGGTTTCATAACATGTCTCTGTATAATTTATGCTAAAGTTAGATCTTCAGAAGTGATAATAGGATAAAATACATAGATGGAGTTTTTCAAAGCTATATGTTAGAAAATAAAATTATGTATTAGTCTAATTATGTGGTACATATATCAAATCAAATTGGTGTGGTAGAGAAAGAGAATAAACACTTACTAGTTATGTTTATCATGAATTTTCTTAAAAAACTATCAAAGAGATGCAGTTCTTATAATAGCATATCTAATTAATAGGATACCACTGAAAGATATTGCTTTTAGAGCACTACTAAAATTTTTATAAGAAACATGTTTCTATATATATTGTGCTACCAAAAATCTTTGGATATGTTTGTTTTATTCTAGGATACCACTGAAAGATATTACTTTTAAAGCACTACTAAAAATTTTATAAGAAATATGTTTCTATATATATTGTGCTATCAAAAATCTTTGGATATGTTTGTTTTATTCAGGATCATCAAGAAGCTTTTGAAAAGTTGGATTAGTGAGCATTGAAATATATTTTCGTCAGATATTTTGCTACTCAGAAAAGGTATTAATTTTATCATATTCTAGGTAGGAAAGTATTTGTTAGCATGAATATAACTTTTATTGAAGATGAGTTATATTTTGTCAACGTACATCTCAAGAGGGAGATTAATAAAAGTGAGAATATTTTATTAATATCTTATTTTTCTCTATTAAATCCTAAATTGGTGGGAGCAAACCAAGGGGAGAGAAAAACGATGAAGATTCAATAAAAATTGAGGAATGTGGAGTGATGACAAACCACAAGGAGAGAGAGAAATAGTTCATAAAGATTATGAGAAAATCAAATAAGGATTAGAGGAGAAGGTTTGGCAAGTTTACACAAGCAAGGAAAAAAAAAAGAGTCAATGAATCTATTTTTCCAAGTCAAGAATCATCTTCAAATTCAATCTTATAACGTACTTCTAACAATAGGTTTCCTAATTCATCCACTGAAAATCTTATTTCTTATATAGATGATTTTCTATGATTTTAAAAAAAGAGTTCAACGCTGTACCAAACATTCTTTATTTAATTTTATATCTTATATTCTCTTATCACTTTTATATAAAGCTTTTATATCCCCTTTATATTTATTTTTTTATGTATTTCTAAAAATTGGATAAAAGTTGTTGAAAATACGATGTGAAAACAAGCTATGGTAGATTAAATAAGATCTTTATTTAAAAAATGACACATGAAAGCTCAGTACTTTCCTACTAAAAAAAGAGTGGTAAATTTCAAATGGGTTTTCTCCCTTAAACAAAAGCCAAATGAGAGGTATTGTTAGGTATAAGGCAAGGCTAGTTTCTAAGGGATATATCTAGTTTTATGGAATTGATTATCAAAAAATATTTGCTCCTGATGCAAAAATGAACTCAATCAAGGTATTGTTATATATTGTAGCAAATCTAGGATGAGATGTACAATAACTAGATATGAAAAATATTTTCCTAGATAGAACTTAGAGGAAGAAGTGTACATGGAAATTATTTCAAGTTTATCTTGTTAAAAAATAAAAGATGTGTGGAAGTTGAAGAAAACTTTATATCGCCTTAAGTAATCTTTTTGTGTATGGTATGATAGATTTAGTAAGGTAGTTGTTAGATTTTGGTACAAACAAAGCAATGAAGACTACACTATATTCATGAAACATTATCAAGATAAGATCATAATTCTCATTGTATATGTTGATGATATTATAGTGACAAGAAATAATAACAAAAAGGTTTATATGTTAAAGAAGTATCTAGCTAAAGAATATAAAATCAAAAACCTTGGAAGGTTGTGTTTCTTTCTAGGAATTGAAGTTGCATGGTCAAGTTAAGGTATTTTCATTTCACAGAAGAAGTATATTATTGATTTTTTAACTTAAACAACGATGTTAGGTTGTAGACCAAATGATTCCCCTATATAAATGAATCATCACCTTGTCGATTATGAGTTGAAGTAGTTGAAAAACAGAGATACTAAAAATTGGTTGGTAAGTTGATATATCTATCATATACCTAACTTGATGTAGTTTATTTAGCTAATGTTATTAGTTAATTTATACATGATCTGATGTAGCTTATTCAGCTAGTGTTATTAATCAATTTATACATGATCCTCGTACATCCCACCTTGATACTATTTATTGCATTCTTAGATATCTAAAGTTTGTTCATTGCAAAGGATTGTTTTTCTCGATAATGAACACTTGAAGGTAGAAGTCTTTACCTATGATAATTAGGTTGGATCTCTAGGTCATAAGAGATTCACATTTGAAAATTATGTTTTTATTGGTGGTAATATGATGTTATGAAGAGTAAAAAATAATATATAATAACCTTATTTAGTAATGGCACATGAAGTATATGAATTTTTAAGGCTTAAAAATCTTATGCAATAGCTGAAAATAACTATTAGTGGTCCTATATTGTTGTTATGTGATAACAAAGCAGCTATTAATATTGCTCATAATTTTTTTTAACATGATGAAATAAAATATATTGAGGTTGATGGGTGCTTTATTAAAAAATAAAATTAAATAAAAATACTATTTGTAGTTTATATATAAAAATTGATGAAAATTTAGTTAATTTGCTTATTATGATAGATACGAGAGATATCCATGAGAGTGAGTGTTGTTAGAAACTATCATTAATTGTAGTGTGGAGTCAACAATAATAAAGTAATCTTTTTTTTTTCTTATATATACATATAGTGTAGGCTAATGCTAAAAATTAAAAATGTACTATACTGTCATTTCGTCTCTCGACCTCCCTGTTTTTTCCCTTTTTTCTTTTTCCTTTTATTTTTTTCACCTTCCTTCGTCAATCTCTAAATATTCTTAGAAAAAAAAAACTAATAACCACACTTAACTTGTATTCAG